GACTCCCAGATGGCACCAGGGCCCACAGCCTGGGGCTCTGAGCATCCCGAAGGTAGGATTCTACCCCAGGAGCCTGACCAGTCTGTCTGAAAATACAGACAGTATGACGTTTTAGGAACGTGCAGATTCTCTCAACCACCCACAAGTAACGGGAATTCATTGTAAAAATATACAATGTTTTAAAAGAGATGGGATTTGGGGAAAGCTAAAAAGACCTGGGCCTCAAAGAGATCCACCTGGAAGGGCATGTGGGACCTACGGCAGCTCTGGGCCGGGGCCACACTTCCTCCCCCCAACAAGTAAGTGTGCGCAGCTGACTCGAGTGTTGCTCAGCTCATGAAGGGCAAGACCCTTCTCTGCTGATTTTACCACCGATACTCTCAACTAACCGCCTCATCTTGCACTAGGTCTAGCTGTCTTTTGCCTTAAACATCTGCCTCCAAATAGCTGCCACTTCCTCCTAACACTGGCTGCCCCTGGCTCCTCCTGTTCCCCCAGCCTGACACCATCTCTCTAGACATACAGCCAGCTTCACCTCTCACTACGGAACTCCTGATGTTCCTTTATTTCCCAGTTCACGTTTACATGTAGGTAAGTAATCTGGTTGGCTTAGCTAAGGAGACACAATGTTAATTAGGAGGACTTTTTAGAGTGCTGGCAGCTCATGGACTGGCTGCTCATGGGACACCAAGGGCTGTCTCCTGCCACTGCTGTGTAGACAGGGTGCTTTCCAAGAGAGGACACCAGGCATCACATCTCCTGGAAGTGAGACTGTCTTTCCAGTGCTTTACAGCTTGCTGCAAATTATCCAGAGCAATGTCAAGGTGAAAACAAAGTAGATGTATATTTTCTTGTAACATTATTCTACTTTATATTTCCTGTTAAATTCCTTACTGCGTCCTCCACCCTGCATTTCAAGCCTTTCCTCAGCTTTCATCACAGTCCAAGCAGGGAACACATGTTCCCTCTCCTGACTGCAATATGTACCTTCCTAAACCACTTATGCATTTACTCATCTATTTACCCCATATCCATTGAGTGCCGGGCTGGTCAAGTGAACTATTAGACAATGAAGACATAAAATTCATCCACCTACTCAATGAACATTAACCGACTACTTACAAAGAGCCAGGTATTGTGTTACTTCCTAGAAATAGAGAGATAACTAAGACATAGTCCCTGCTTGATACATAGCAGGAATTCAATAAATATTTGCTGAATAAATGAACGCCTTAAAGGCACTCTCAGCCTAGTGGGGGAGTACGGCAAGTATTTAGACCAGCGGTTCTCAACCTTGGGTCGTGACCCCTTTGTAACAATGAAAATATATCACAGCATTAGGAAGGTTAAGAACCACTGATTTAGACAACTATAAGCAGAGCAAAAAGGGTGGTTCTGGGGAATGTCCACAGGGAGAGAGGGCTTAAGAGACCAAAAAGTTCTTGCAGCAAACACTAATACCCACACTGAGACCTGGATGGTGGGCAGAGTTAGCCACGGGCAAGGCACAAGAGAGCCAAGGACCCGTGCAGCACAAGCATCCGTGCAAAGGTGTGGAAGTATGGGAGGAAAGGAATGTCCCAGAGGGACGGAGAATAATCAGGATTATTAGGAACTGGAATGGAAGCCTTTACATGGGAAGGTTCATGCAAAGGTACTCAATTCAAACACAGGATTCAGCTGGGTTTTTGGAGTTCTCCAAAGACCTTGTAGCTGCCGGCATACAGCTGGTGAGGGGCACAAAGATGGTCTGGAAGCAGTATGCACCACTTCCACTCTTATTCCATAGTAAGAAAGAGTTTTCAGGGCTTTCTTAACTGAAAAATATTCCACATAAGCCAGGAAAGATAGTCTAACTGTGTTTCCAGGAGAGAATAGAGTTTTGGTGGCAGCTAGAACTTTGGAGAAGTTTCCAGGGAGTGAGCAGATCAAGAGCCGTGCAGGCAGCCCTAATCCCAGCTCACCCAAAGTGCCCGAAATTGGCTACCAGGTCTGTGGGCAGAAGAGACAACTCAGGACCTGTAAAACACCTCTGGATCCCAGTCCAAGGCACATCGGGCAGTCTGGTGGGAGTCAAGGTCTTCTCTTCTAAAGTGAGGTTTGACAGTTGCATGTTTGGTCTGTAGACAGAGGTGGGTTTGAGTAGGAGAATGTCAAGAACTATGAAGGGCCTTTACATTATTTAAAAAACTAACAAGTCAGCAAGTCACAGATTCATGGATACTGACATACATGAGATACCAGAGACAAAGAACTTGTAAATTTACAGCAGTGGCCAGTTCCCCAATCCCAATTCTTGCAGAATGACAGAAAAAGGAAGAGATGACTCCTGCATATATAAGGGACTGTGTTACAAGAGAGGGTCCCTGCATTTAGAGAACCTGGACCTTTTATAAGGGCAGTAAGTGTGCCTGCTCTTTGTTCTGGAGATTGCCACTATCTTTGCCTTTCAAAGCTGTAAGCAATTTTCCCTTTACACTAAAGAGGGTCACTATCTCTGTCTTCAAAGGATGTCACTTTATAAACATCCTTAGAAAGATAGTCCAGAACAAAAGCAGCCAGTGTCTCTACTTGCAAAATATGCAGAAATGTGAGAGACACTTGAGAATTGTCTTCTGACAAAGACAGATTCCTTTTTAGCAAGATGGAGTTATCTTTAGAGAGCATCTTCCATGGCTGAATCCTTCCCCTCCTGGTGTCTTGGTATCGCAGCTCTTCCCTATACACACTCACTTCCTTGGGTATTTATCTCATTCAGCCTTCTATCTTTGAAGGCCATCGGCCTTCTATCTTTAAATCCATGCTGGTAGTTTGACAGTTTACACTTGACAGTGCCCCCATGTACAGCCTTGGATATCAAACTGCCAAGGTGGTGTCTTCACGTGGTTGTCTTCTAAGCATCTCAGACTTTCCATGCTCTTGGTTCTCACCCACCACGTGAAATGTGCTCCTTCCTCAATATAATCACTCTCACAACAGTATTCTTCACTCAGTTGCACCAGTCAAAACCTTCTTTCATACTCACATCCAGTCCATAAGCACAGTCTGCTTTCAGAATGTATCCTGAATGTGACCACCTCTCTCTTTTGACATCAGCAACATCTAGTCCCAACCACCCCTGCCTCTGCTCTTGACAACGACCACATGTGTCTGTCTTGCCACACACATTCTAACTTCCACGATGGCCAGAGTGCTGCTCTTAAAATGTAAAGTAAATAATATAATTTCTCTGCTTTCAGCCTTCCTATAACACTCTAATATGTTTAGAATAAAATTCAAGGTCAAGGCCATATAAGATTGGACGTCTGCCTTCAAATCTAACCACCCTCTCTCTCTCCTTGTGTTCTACTTACCCTCGAAGACATCTGGCATTTGTCTATCTCAGGGCCTTTGCATTTTGCTGTGTTGACCAAGTCACTTAGGGCTCTGTCTGGTGGCAACTGATCACACAAACCGTCTCTAACTATCCCGAGTAAAGTAATACATCTTCCCTTTTCCTTTCACCAAGCCTTACCACTGTGTCATTCGTAGCACTGATCACTGATTTTGAGAGCTGTCTTCCCTGAATGCCCTCTAGCCTGGAGTACATGCTGCATGAGTCAAGAACTTGGTTTTGTTCACTGACACAGCCTCTGCAGGATTCTTGCCACATTCCTCCAGGTTCTTGGGTACAGTGGGGTTCAAAATTGAACATACACTCTGAGAAGAACGTAAGAAGTCTGTAATTTGTTTTCCTCCCTTTACAGGTTTCACATACATACCTGAAAGACTCCTTTAAAAGATAACCACCTAAGATGTAAGCCCAGCCCCCAAAAGCTTAAGGTCAGAGAGCGCAGAGAGCGATGACATAAGGATTTATTTGAGTCTTCTCTGTTCACAGTTTCCACAAATCCCAAAACACCCTCCTGAAGAACACACTAGAGGAAAAAGCATAACCTCCCTCATGAATTTAGGACTGTATATATTTTTAAATTGCCATTCTTTCATTTAACAAATAAATGCTTTTTATGTGCCAAGACATGAGCTAGAAGCTGGGGGTACACACTGGGAAGATAATTCCTATCCTGAGGGATCCAGAATCGTAGGCACCTTTGTTTCTGTTTCCATTATTATTGTCATTGTTGTTTTGATACTATCTTATTTTGATATCCTTTGATTTTTTTATGTATTGTATTTATGTCTGATATCATGTTGAGATACAAATCCTGTACTTATGGAAGACTATCTTTCACCCAATTTGAAAAATAAGGAAACACAGTGTTTTCTTTCTCTAGCCTACTTTCTGATTTGACTGCAAAATGATGACTTTTCATTTTTCAGAATTCATTTCAATTCTCTGCAAAGGACTGGACAATGAAATACAAAAATCTCAGGTATTTATTTGCATTTAGCTCACTATATGTTTACCTTCCTTACATAGGGCTGATGGGCTTGTGTTTCATTTAACACCTTTACTGTTTATATTAAATTAAAATTATTTAAGAAACAACCCTATTTCAACTGTTCTTTTGACATCACACTGATTCTTATTTCATTAACGACGTTAACTTTCTCCAGGATGCAGAAAGACTACTAGAATTTACGCACAAATTTCTACTGAATGAATTCCCCCACCTTCTTGGTGACTGTACACCTGCCTTCCTTATAAGGAGAACAAGGAAGTAAATCATGTTGAAGTTGCTTTTAAACACAGCTTTTCTGCTTTACCTGTCCAGGTAGCCTCTGTTTTCAGTTCAGTCTTAATGAAAACTTTTTGATTTCCGTCTCAAGTTTCTTTTCAAAGCAGTGTAAGTAGTATTTAAAATTTTACACTTCAAGAAAGAAAGACTTTAAAGACATTCAGCTTTGCTCTTGTAACGTTGAAGGTAATTCATTTTTTAATCTGCACAGCAAGAACTGAAACGAATGGGGATTGGACTGTTCTGCCTGTTCTTTCTATTGCTAAGGAGGAATGATCACGTACAAGGTAAGACCGAAGTTCTCTGATATGTTGCTTTCGTGCTATGCTTGACAAACCTGTCATTTGTTTCAGAAACTAGATCTGGAGTTATTTTTTATTGGATCTGTTCAACTGCTCTTTTGCCACCGAGCGAACACTGTAACAAATTACAGGCAAACACAGGGCTGTTCCCACAGCGAATGCCCTAGGCTTCAGGTAAATAAATACAAAGGTGGCACAGGCATTTTAATGAGAAGAATTAAACAACATTACTGCACAAGAGGACTTTTTAATGCCATTGTGACAACCGTTTTAGAAACTTTTCTAGTTTATCTGAGAATGAGGCTTTCCCTTTAAGAGTAATAACTTCAAATAATTTATTTCAAAAATAGAAATACCCATTCAAGAGAGAAGCATGTTTTAAGGACACGTAATTTTTTAAAATTCAAGTGGCCACTATTGACTGAGGATAATAAATAGAATGATCCTGCATTTGTGAGCATGTAGGTTGTTTTCAAATGTTAAGACAAAATAGAATGATAATTTTCGGCTTAGGAGACAGACGTTTTCCATGCGGTAGATGTGGTGAAATATAAACTTTTATGTGAATAGATAACATTTTGAGGACTAATCTCTGAATACCAAAACAAACTTTGATATTGTTTTACTCAGTAATGTATAAGTCATAAATCTTAGAAACGGAATAACTGAAAGTGTGCCTAATCCCTTGCATTTGCTGGGTTTAAACGTAGGTGGCTGTGCCTGGGGAGGTGCAGAAACCTGTGAAGACTGCTTACTCATTGGACCTCAGTGCGCCTGGTGTTTTCAGGAGGTAAAACAAATGACCTCAGCATGTTTTTAAAAACTGTCTGCAGGTATACTTATGTTAACTCCCTCCGTGATGGTTCTGACAGTGTCCTGCTTTCTGTGGAGTTATAGGAATAAAACAAATCAGGAAAGGAAAATGTGAGCGTTAGTTGATCAGAGTGGCATTCATGTGATTACTTTCAACAACAATTTGCAGAAAGAGGGGATTGTCCAAACATTATGGGAAAACGCTTACCTCAGGATCTTTAACCTTGTTCCTCCTCTTATTTTCAAGCCATTTGTCACTGGTCAAGATATTGAGGCTGTCTGTATAATCAGAGATCTCGGAAATGACATTTTCTAAAGTTAAATATACATTTGACAGCAATATTATAATTGTATTCCATCTGGGAACCAGGATCCATTCTGGATCACTGCTAGGTTCTAAGAGAAGTAAGTGCTCAAGGTTTGGGGTAAACATTACTGTTCAAACATCATCCATTTCTTTTAAAAATTACATTTTCATGAGCTCAGTGACTCTGTATCACACTGAGGGCAAAGCCTCAAACAGACGTTCTTTATCTGGCCAAGCTGAAAACTCTATGAAGGTAGGATGAAGATGATTAGGGAATATATAACAAGCCAGCCGAAGTCACTGCCTGTCTCCAGACTCCATAAAGCCAAGCTGGAAATGATTCATGGTAAGAAAGAGATGCATTAGCTCTCTGAATTTTAAAATAAGTCTTTACCCACTGGAGCTCATAAACAGAATCTAAACACAAATCAAACCATATGAATGTCAAGTTCAGCAAGAGCTGAGGAGCGTGCTCAGAGAGAAACAAACCCAGATTCCCAACTCAGAACTGGGCTGTAATTGTTATAACTCAAATTCCAAGTTGGATGTGTCTCCATGGGGTGTGGCCTGGCAGATAAGAGAGCACAGGCCCAGCCCACTCCCCACTGCTGCCTTTACTGATGGAGCCTCAAGCAAAAGTTCAAGAGAATTATACTTTGTTGAGCTCGTATATCAAGGCAGGATTGAGAATGTACAAAAAGGGAGAAACTCACCTTTTTCTGGACATTGACTTTCTAAAGAAGATAGTATCCGTTTCATTAAATTCTAAACAACAAATCAGTCTAGAATTTTTATTTAAATGTATTTTTGTAGTATTTACCTCAGAGAGTTTCCTAAGTTCTTATTGAAAGCTTTATTTGTGATGATACTTGGCAGCTAAATTATCATCACATTTTAAGCTCAGATTATTCTAAGAGGCCACTGTAATACTAGAAGGAGTTATCAGTACATGGGTTGAGACAGTTGGAGCAAAAAGTAAATTAAGCTTCTGCAATAATAGGGCAGATAGAATATAAAGTTTTGTGGTTATAGATGGAATATAAAGGTTGTGACTATAGGGGACAGCAGTGGCACTGAATTGAGAAGGATTCTGAGGCTTTGTCCAGCCATTATTTGACTTGGTTACATCATAGAAATGACAGAATTTGCCATACCTGGCCTAGGGCCTCAAATATGCATGAGCCTGACTGATGATAGATAACAAATTATATTCTCAAAATCAATTTCAGAAAAAAAATCTAACTTTCCTATTAGATTACAGCAAGAGTGTCTTAGAATTCTAAGGGGAAAGGAAAAAATGTGAGCCACATGAGAGTCAGCGGGCATCAGATTCCACTTTGCCTCAGGCCTTGCCAGCTCTCGGGTAAGACAGGTATTAGCTTGTGGCTCCATTCTCTGCTCTGGGTGTTCTAGGATTGGAATGGCCACGTCTCTGCTGGGAAACACTGTGTCTCATTGTCCCTGCTACCCAGGAAGACCTGAAGGGGCCTGGGAAACCCCTGGGTGCTGCATAGGGAAGCAGCCTACTAAGGCATCTTCTCTTTCCCTTCCCTTCCTCATCTCCAAATCTTGGAGAAAATTCTAAAAGACCTTGAACTAGAATACTAGAATACTTCAAGACACTAAGTTGAAAGTTCCCAAGAGGTCAGTTCTTGAGATGAAGTAATACTGTAGTGCAAGGGTAACACACCAATGAATAAAAGTGGTTCAGAGTTTCAGTCAAGACAGACAGGTGTTACCAGCCATGCTCTTTAGGAATCCACAGAAAACTCTCTCTTGTCCAAATTCAGGAATAGACATGCTGGAGAGCTGGGACAGCCCTGGCTTCCATAAGCCTACAGGTCATCCTGAACAGATAAATGCACAGGGTGATGGTAACTCTATGCACCCAGCTGTTTCAAGGATCTGGCCGTGGTCTGGGAGAAGCTTTAAAGAAGTCAGCTTCAAAAAAAAAAAGTTTAACATGAATGCAATTGCATATAATTAAAAGGTGATCTGGTTTTACTCAGAATTTTACTGGTAGAATTCTCTAGTCATTCGGTTATGACTTAACTTTAGATGTACAATCGATGTCAGTCATGTAGGGATGCAATAGCTAACTAGCAAAGTGCGAAAAATAAAATTCAATTGCTGGTGTTATGAAAAATGCAGATTTGTCTTCTTTTTCTCATCATTGTTTTTTTCCCCCTCTTTTAGAATTTTACCCATCCATCTGGAGTTGGTGAAAGGTGTGATACCCCAGCAAATCTTTTAGCTAAAGGATGTCTATTAAACTTCATAGAGAACCCTGTCTCCCAAGTAGAAATACTTAAAAACAAGCCTCTCAGTGTAGGCAGACAGAAAAATAGTTCTGACATTGTTCAGATTGCACCTCAAAGCTTGATTCTTAAGTTGAGACCAGGTATGTTATGCTTTGGCTCATGTAAATAAATCTAATGTCATATGTTGTAATTCCACTAATGTATCTTACACCCTATTACGTATCCTTGATTATTATGACTTAGGTTTCACCTTATTCACATTGGTCATGTGGGCTCCAAATGTCTTACTAAAAAAAGCTTTTTCAAAAAGTAACCATTTGAGTTACTCAAATGTTCAGACTTACCTCCCATTTCTCCCAGGGTTGTAATGTAGATTTAAACTCCCCTTTATTTGGTTCTCCTTTTCTGAAACCACACACAAAAAATTCAGCTTATCTTCCATCTAAATGGATGCGAGTTCTCCCATGGAGATATAAAATATCCTAACTTATGCCTCTTGCTGAGTTCTAAACTCGCAGCTGACAGATTTTCATGGGCTTGTTCATTTAGACATCTTACTACATAGCTCATGAAATGATATGTAGCTTCAGTGAACTCTTATTGAAATGAAATAACCAGCTGAGCCAGTGACTGGTGAGTCGTGAATGAATCTCACTGTGTTTTTCTGGATTTGCTCTGCCCACTGGGGCGTTGCAGGGGGTGAGCAGACGCTGCAAGTGCACGTCCGGCAGACTGAGGACTACCCAGTGGATTTGTATTACCTCATGGACCTCTCCGCCTCCATGGACGATGACCTCCACACAATCAAAGAGCTGGGCTCCCTGCTTTCCAAGGAGATGTCTAAATTAACCAGCAACTTTAGACTGGGTTTCGGATCCTTTGTGGAAAAACCCGTATCCCCTTTTATGAAAACAACACAAGAAGAAATCGCCAACCCTTGCAGGTAAGTAAATGATTCTCTGGCAGCTCCGTGCACTGATCTTCTGTAGAGATAGCCATGCTCTGAGCTGCACTGGCCTGGAGCTTGCTAGCTCTTTGGCATTTCTGTCTTGTCTGGTTGGATCTCAGCAGTTCTCTCGGTGGTCCAGGTTGTTTGGAACCAAGGTGAGGTCACCTAAACTGGATGATTCTACCCTTGAGTACTGACAGCACCTAGCCTGTGTAGGTTAGGTTAGCATGTGGCAAACTAGGATGTGTGTTACACGGACAAGGGGACCAAGTCTTTCATGGTATGTTTCATTGGACTGTGCCCACCTCAGTCCCTCAAAGACTTTCTATCCTCAGTGACCACCATTTTCGGAGGCTATGTGACAATGACCTATGCTTTCTCAGAGTCTTTCTCCACTGCAATGACTTCTGCCAAAATAATTTTTACAGCTCCCTCTGATGTATTTTGGGAAAAGTGAGTTTCTCTTATTGCTTATAGAAGGCCTTTGCAGCCTTTACTGCTATCAAATTCAGTAGTAAATCAGGCGGTGACTCCATTATAATATGCTATAATGAGCTATTAAAACCATGTATTATGTAGGTGATGGTGGAGGGCAAATTGCTTTGTGATGGCTTACCCGTGCAGGAAGTGGCATGTTCAAAATCAAATTATTTAATAGCCTTCCATTGAAAAAGAGTTACAATTTGTTCTGTGCCAGACTGTGTGCTAAAGGTTTTACATACATGACCTCATTCAGTCTTCATAATAACGGCAGGTTAAGGCAGGTTTCACCAGCCCTCTATTAAGAGGAAGTAACAGAGGCTCTAACGGGTTAGGAAGTTGCCCAACCGCATGACTCGTCAATGACCTGTACTAAGATGATTTGGTCCCAAACTGCCCCTTTACTACTGTGCATCTAGTATATATGAAATAGTTTTCCAAACATGCACTAACTTTTAATAGTTATCACTCTATATAAAAGACTAACAGATTTTATTACGTCATTTAAAAACACTTCAGTGTGGTTTCCAACTATAATCTAGCATAGCTGAAAATAATTTAACCATGGAAAGAATTTTTCACTAACTGTAACTCTTTTTTTTTTTTTTTTTTTTTTTGAGACAGAGTCTTGCTCTGTTGCTAGGCTACAGTAGCCTGGCCTCAGCCTAGATCACAGCAACCTCAAATTCCTGAGTTCAGGAGATCTTTCTGTCTCAGCCTCCCAAGTAGCTGGGACTATAGGTGGGACTGGGACTACAACAAGCCTAGTTAATTGTCTATATGTAGCAGAGACAGGGTCTTGCTTTGCTCAGGCTGGTCTCCAACTCCTGACCTCAAGCAATCCTCCTGCCTCAGCCTCCCAGAGTATTGGGATTGTAAATCTTAGGAATTGTGTTTGGTACCTATAATCAGAAATTGGCTTAAATTTTTTTTTTTTTTCACAAAAAGAAGTCCAGAGAAAGGCAATTCAGGGCTGGGATGCAGGCTTTTTCTGCTGTCCACTTCATCATTGGCATTTGGATTTTATCTTCCTGGTACAAGAAGCCTTCTGGGGGTGGAAATCATTGTTTCTTCATTGTAGACAGAAGAAAGGAGGAAAAGGGGGGGCACATCAAGTGTATATTGTATATAAGTATATTGTCTGTCTCTCTCTCTCTCTTTAGAGATAGAGTCTCACTTTATCACCCTTGATAGAGTGCTGTGGCGTTATAGCTCACAGCAACCTCCAGCTCTTGGGTTTAGGCAAGTCTCTTGCCTCAGCCTCCTGAGTAGCTGGGACTACACACACCCACCACAATGCCTGGCCAATTTTTTATTGCAGTTTGACTGGGGTCAGATTTGAACCTACCACCCTCGGTATATGGGGCTGACACCCTACTCACTGAGCCACAGGAACTGCCCCGTCTCTCTTTTTAAGGTGTAATTGACACACATTCAAATGCACACATCAGAAATATTCGGTTTGGTGAGTTTGATAATTGATTATAACAGTGGAATCAATACCCAAAACATAACAGAGAATATTTCCATCACCTCAGAAAGTTCCCTGATACCCCATTATAGTAGGTTCTACTTCCCCAGAAGCAACCATTTTCTGATTTCTGTCATTTAGGTTGGTTGGGTTTGTGCATTGGATTTCACATGAATAGAATAATGTAATCGTGTTTCACTTCTTCTATTCAACATGTTTTTGAGATTTATCCATTAGTTTGTGTGTGTCAGCAGTTGGTTGTGGGGCGGTTGTTTGTTTTACTTTTTAGAAGGGGAGCCAGGGTAGAGAAGCAGGAAGGGTGTTTTGCCAAGGCTGGTCTCGAACTCCTGCGCTCAAGTGATCCCCCTGCCTCAAGCTTCTGAGGAGCTAGAATTATAAGCATGTGCCACTGAGTCCAGCTCCCTCTTTGTCTTTATTAATAGTCCATTGTATAGATTTATTACACGTTGGTTTTTCATTCTTTAACAGTGGACATTTAAGGGGTTTTTTTTGTTTGTTTGTTTTATGATTTTGGCTATCAGGAAGATGCTGCTATAATGACTTGCTATAATAAGATTTTGCATGTTTTTATTTCTTTTACATGTGTACTTAGATTGTATAAACATACTTCTAATTTTAAAAAAACTGCCAAATCATTTTCCAAATTGAATGCACCACTTTGCATTGTCGTCTTCAATATAAGACGATTCCAGATATTCCATATCCTTGCTAGCACATGAGGTTGTCAGCCTTTTAAGTTGAAGCTATTCTAAGAAGTGTATAGTGGTATCTCATTACAACTTTAATTTACCTTTCCTCAGTGATTAATTCTTTTAAGTATCTTTTCATGTATTTATTTGCTGTTCTTATTTCTTATTTTACACAGTATAATTTCAAATCTTTTTGCCCATTTAAAAAAATTAAATTATCTTCTTAGTATTATGTTGTGAGAATTATTTACATAGTTTGTTATATACTCTGGATGCAAGTTGTTTGTCAAATACATATTTTGCAAACAATTTCTCCCAGTTTGTGGCATGTATTTTCATTTTTCTAGCAGTGTCTTTGGTCAAGCAAAAGTTTTTAATTTTGGTGAGGTCCAATTTATTGATTTTTAATTTTAAAGTTACTGGTTTTTTTGTCCTAAGAAATGTTTGCCTTCCTTAGGGACACAAAGATTTCTCCTATGTTTCCTTCTGGAAGCTTTATGGTTAAGCTTTTACATTTAGGCTTCTGATTACAAATATAGTTTATCTATTTGGGGTTAGAAATGGTCTAGGTCCACCTTTTGTTTCCATATAAATATCTAGTGGTTCCATAACCATTAGTTAAGCAAGACTTTCCCTTCCACACTGAATTATCTTGATGTCTTTGTTTAAAAGCAATTAGCTGTATAGGTGCAAGTCTAATTGTCAACATTTTATTCTGTTTCATCAATCCATTGAATACATCTGCTAATTGCCTGCTCACTGTCTTACTTACTGTAGCTTTATAAAAAGTCTTGAAATTAGCAATCTAAGTCCTCCAGCTTTTTCTTTCTTTTCTTTTGGCTGTCATAGGTCCTTTGCATTTCTATATAAATTTTAAAATCAACTTGTCAATTTCCTTGAAAATTTTCTGAGATTTTGACTGAGATAGCCATATGAACCATAGATCAACTTGAACATATTGGATATCTTAAACATATTGAAACATCCAATCACATCAGATGGTATATATCTTCATTTGTTTAAATCTTCATTTTCTTTGTATATATCTTCATTTGTTAAATTATTTGTTTAAATAATTTCTCAGAACAATGTTTTGTTATTTTTAGGATAGATTTTGTGTTTAAAATAACTACTCCTGAAGCACTTATAGGGTAGATATATTGCCCATTTTTGTTTCATTTTTTTCTTGGAGCATGTTTAAAAATTTAATTGTCCAACTGTTTATTGAGAACATATAGACATGCAACTGATTTTCCATATTAATTTTGTATCCTGCAACCTTGATAAATTTTCTCATCAGTTCTAGTCTAATTTTTATAGATTCCTTAGAATTTTCTATGTACATAGTCATGTCACCTATTAACAACAACTTTCTTCTCTCCAGTATTTACGCCTCTTCTTTCTTTTTCTTGCCTTATTGCATTGGCCAGGATTGCCAGTACAATTTTAAATAGAAGTGGGTAAGAGAGGACAACCTTGTCAAGTTCTTGACCTTAGGGGGAAAGCTTCAGTGTTTCATTATTAAGTATGTTGTTAGCTAGTGTTTTAAAATTTTTTAGCAGATCAAAGAAATTCTCTTCTATTCCTTGTTTGATAAGGTTTTTAAAAAATTATAAATGGATGTTGAGTTTCATGACCTCAATTTAAAGAGCTTTGCCAGAAATTTTACTCAATATCTTAGACTTGATTTCATTGGCCAAGACTTAGTTACATGACCACATTCCTGCCTGCTTTCCAAGATCAGCATTCTTTTTCTAGGATAAAGAAAAAATGGATACTAGGTGGAATATAGCAGCTCTTACACCACTAAATACACAGATTTCTAGAAAGAGTATAATGGGCTGAGGGTAGTGGCTCAGATCTATAATCCTAGCATTCTGAAAGGCTGAGGCAAAAGAATTACTTGAGCTCAGGAGTTTGAGACCAGCCTGAGCAAAAGTGAGACCCCCATCTCTACTAAAAAAAAAAAAA